TCACACACACACACACACCATATATATATATATATATATATATATATATTCCCATCTACATTTTTGTCAATTTATAGTATTCAAATATAGGTAAATGGTTAGGAAAGCATGTAAAATTATTCAAGATACATTGTCATATGCAAAGATTAGAAAGGTGGTAGATATTCGATTCACACTGATATGGTTTCACACTACGCGTGCAAGCTTGGTCGCACCGGTGATAGTTTGTGTATGGCGGAACGGGCAGATGATTGTACGTGACGGGATAGAATCCAGTACATGCGTAGATGTCGAAGGTTAACCCGTCTTGATGATGTACATATTGGTGACTTCATGTCACTTTTATACAGCATTAGACAAACACATATAGTATCATAGTTGAAGTTAAGCGGGTCAAACATTTTATCCCGAGCGTACTGTTATACACCATCAATAAATGTATATATCCGAGCTTGCGCATACATCTATAAACAACATCGATATTATAAGAAGCTAAACCGCGTTTGGGACGGTTATCGCTACAACTTAATGGGTCAGTCTGCGGATTGCAGGCGTGAGTTCCATCAAGTCGTTCCGTGCTCAAGTATATATCCCGGACTATCTCTGAGCGCGAATAAAAACCACATCCGAACAATATACCCCTATGTCCAACCACATTACTCGTTGTTGAAGCAAGCGTTCAATGTGACTCACCTGTACTGTGTCTGGACTGCCCCCCACAAATAGTGCGAATTCAATCCCTTTTGTCATATTTTCACTAATTATAGTGCGTTTGTACTGAGTATCCAGTGTGTACTGAGAAGACCAGATTTGGCATCAAACGCAGGGTGAGTTGAGATGGACTCAGAGTGCGCAGTACTTTAGGCTTTGCTGATCTTGTTAGAGGCCTATCTGTCACTGAGAGCAATCCTGCTACACACTTCTGACTTCTGCCGATGAAAGCACAGCGGTCGGTGTAATGAGGCGACACGGTTCATGTTCACGTGGTGTTAATTTATTTATTATAAGATTTTTATCGCTATCGCGTGATCAATTCGAAATCTTATTTGAGAACAGTTAAGTTGGAGCAACTAGGCACACTTATAATCGTCCAGAACAGTGAAAGATACACTACGGCATAGCATACACAAGTGATCGACTTGTGCCACAATAACATAACATATCTAATAGGCACACTGCCATACTGCGTGCAAACCAATCTATCTCACCATGTCCAACAAAGCAGACCATGAAGTGAGTCAATCCTGGCGGTTCACCTCAGCCTTGGTGGCGGCGTACGTGTCCGAGACTGTTACTATCCCAGCTGAGGTACATAGTGTAGACTGAACAAGTGTTCTTATTTAGCCATTAATCTATGCTATTGCGCAGAACCTTCCCTCTATTATCGAATCTCAGCTTTTGTTATGTAGTTAGGGCAGTCTTGTGTTTCTATTCTTTCCGCTAAGCCACATGCGGCTGAAAAGTCTATCGATGTGGATTGAAGCACAAGGCAATTTGTATAGATACATACACAGGGAAGATAAGTACATACTCTGTATTGCACAGTGACCTGTTGAACAGCAGGAGATTTGAAACCACTGCCTTGGAATGCCTATCAATACACACACACACACACACACACACATACAAACACACAGATATACATACATATATATATATATATATATATATANATATATATAT